GTCATCTTCCAGACTCTTAATTAATCAATTAGAGATAACAGAGAGCCCAACACTAGGTGCATCGTGTGCTCAGGAAATTCAGGTGCGTTTCTTAGCTACAAGCTATTTACTGTGGGTCTGTGGATCTAGCTGAAGAGGATAGTACCACAGCTGTACAAGTCTCAAAAACGCTTCTTTCTGCCCATCAGTGGCATATATGTTTTGCTCTGTTTCAACAAAATATTATTAATCCAGAAACTATTTTTGTGGGGGTCCTGGACCATTTGATGGTGTGGTGAATGTGAGGAATGATAGATGGTGCTGGATGTCCTGTGCGTATCACTGTCATGTGAGGCTGTGCTGTCTGAGCAATTTGCCCAGTGGCTGCATGAAGTGAACTGGAGATATTTGGTTACTGTGCAACTCCGTAAAGGAAGGGTTTGTAATGGAGGTATGGTTTCTGATTATTTCTTGTTGAGAGCATGTCTCAGCAGTCCTTCAAGAAAGGTTCAGATGATCAAATCACATGCCCCATGTCCTTGCTAACTCTCCCAAGCTAGTCACAGGGGAATGGTGTGGGTATTGCAGTGGTCCCGGAGAGGGAAAATGAGGCCCAAAATAAAATGTTTTCTGGTTGGCGTCCTCAGAAGACCGTCTGTTTAGTCCTAAATTCAGACTGTGGTACATCTAGCAGCTCTTTCAACAGTGATGGATCTCTTTTCAGTGATGAAGCTCAGAGCACCTTGCAGAGGTAGTATTGTGATTGCTATCTTTTTAAAGATGAGGAGACTGAGGCCCAAGGAGGAAAAATGTGTTTGCTAGTGTCCTTTAATTTGTGTTGGTTGAAAAATGGAAGTTATAAGATGGATGACAGTCAGTTCATGCTTTCACTGTAGATAATGAACCTGTGCTTGAATCATCTAGTGTCCAGACTGTTTGGACCCTTGTACGGGTCACAGGTTTCTCTAGATCGTTTCAGGAGAGAAGGTTGAAACTCAACCTACTGTTCACCGTGGATCCATATTCACATGTAATTGAGTTTGGACAGTACGGAAATGCATGATCAGCGCTAATCTGTCAACATGTTATCCTGTAAAATCCTGAGGTTGTGTCATCAGAGAAGAAAATCAGTGGTGGCCTCTGTTAAACAAGTGCCTATCATTGGGTTTGGTGAGAGAATATAAAATAAAGAGGACACCTGAGCTCATCCTAGACTAAGAACGTGTGTGTACATCACACATGAGAGAGCGACGCTCTGCAATGGAGTGACAGTGCAAAGAACATACGCTGCGTTAGGTGCGACTCACTACTGTTATAGCATGGTCTTGTGGCCTGTGCGCCACAGTCTAACAGAGCTGCTGCCTTCAGTTAAATTGGTGAGAGGTGTTTGGGTGGTTGTACTTAAGAGAAAACACAGTCCTCTTAACTCACGTAATTGCAGGCAAAGGAAGGCTAGTAAAATATTTGTCTATGGTAGGGCAATGCCATCTAGTTACCAGCCTGCCAGCTGTCAGGCTCCTGACTCACATGTAATGCAAACTTGACCATTTTATATCCTCCACTTTACAGCAAAATGTCAAAGTCCTCGTAGGTCTTATGGGCTTTTTTTTAATATTGTCTTATTGCATTGTTTCCTACGAGCACCTTTGAGGTAGTATTTTCAAAGTATTAATGCTGCCTGGCCCTTGAGTCTACTCAGCGGTATGAAGGGACCCTCTTTAAAGCCATCCTAAGTGCAGGCTGGGGTCTGAGAGGTCTCCAGAACTTGAGTGTCAGAAACATTTGTGGTGAAAACCAAGGTCAGACCTACATGCCTTTGGGAACATTGGATATGTTTATCACTGGGGTGGGGGAGGAGGGAGGGGACGGATAGGGAATGTTTGTTTTTTTGCTGGGTTTTTTTTTCTTCCTTTAGGTGGAAGGTTTCTCTGTGTTGTTCAGTAATTGCTTTAGGAGGAAAATTATTTCCCACCTTGCAGCAAAAGTATGCCTGGCAAGGAGAGAAGTGTTATAAGAGCACCACTTCATACAGTTGATTTTCAGCCAAAGTCAAGTCCCTCCTGGGAGCAGTTACAACTGGTGAAATTTTTTAGCAGGCTTGAAGCTACTCTGACTTTGGGGGATGGGGAAACCTCTTGCTATCTGCAGGAGCTGCATGAGTGACATCATCACACATCAGGTTTTCTTCTGCATGGACACAGTTAAGGTAGGCCCTTGAAGCTCTCAGACCCAAGCTGGAGCAACAAGAGGGGCCGTGCTGCCATAGTAAAGCAAAGGGCTTACTGTAAAGAACGTGTGAATTGCTTAAATAAAGGAACTGTTTGAATCCTTCTGTGACCCATTCTTCAGGCCTAGAAGTCCCATTTATTTTTTATGTATAGCATCAATATTCTTTGAAGAAATAATCTTTGGGACATTAATGAAGGAATTACAAATTAATAAGTATCAAAAGGGACTAAATAGAAGTATTTTAGCAAAGCACATACTGATGGAAATCTGGCAATTGCATGCTTTTGTAAAAAAGAAGTTTAAAAGATCTATCAACCACAGTGCCTTTATCTGGAGGAATCACACTAGCTACAAAATATGTACCTGTCAGAATCTATTGATCACTCAGATGCAATCACTGTGAGTTAAAACATATAATAGTGCATTGCATACTGTATTGTTCATGGCCAGTCTTTGAGAAGGAGCCACACAGGGCCAGTATTTCAGAATGTAAATAAATTACTATATTTTTCATATGTTCTGAAAAAAAACTCGCAGCTGGTGTGATCAAGTTAGAATATTTATGCTGTCCATTTTTTTTTTTAAATCAGGGACCCATATATATACCGAATGGTTTAGCTTCTCATCTGTCTTTTTTTTTTCTTTTAATCTTCTGCCAGGTGTTTAAGAAGCGGGCAGCAGTGGTATTTTGGTAACTTGCTTCCAGCATTATTTGCATACCTTTTTATTTTTCTATGGTGATAAATGCTCAACCATAGTGGAACTTCAGTCAGTAAATTTTATGTGCAACTGTTAAAGTAATTTTATTTTTAATGAGTCTGTTATAGGGATTTTAATGTCCCTTTATAAATATTTATATTTTCAATATGTCTTCATTTAATTGAAAAGGTTCTTCACATTATTTTCAGACAACTGCAGGTAGTAGGTGTAATGACATATCAACACTCTGACCTTTTAGTTTCTGGATTTCTATTAGTTCATCCACATTTTGCTTGTCCATGTATATTATATTTTAGTTTGTATATGATTTTCCTCTGTGGGCTGTTGGAATGAAGGGTATTTTTGATACAAACACCTTAATAAACTGGAAAGAAAGAAAAGATGCTATTGCATACTAGCAGCTGTCATGCAGACTGTGTCCTGAGTATTGTAATCAGTGTGCACTGCTACTAGAAATCCACACTGAAATAATGTTTGATATTTGCATGGTCATCACTCAGAGAGGGATGGTCTCGAGTCATATTCATCAATACAGCAACAGCTTCTGATATTCCTGAAGCTGTTTTGAAATTGCTTCAGTTATTTATCTAAAAACTGCTCATGGTGATGTCCTGTTGACATCGCTTTTGTTATAAATGTCTTCCAGGAATTTCTTCTACCATCAGTGTCATTTTCCACTGGTGTAAAATTCACCAAAGAATTATGGCTATAAAGAGAAGGGAAGCAATCGTTGCTAATTCCACAGAGAGCTTGCAGGTGCAGGCTCCTCCCCTAGTAATCAGCTATTAATGTGATTTGTACCATTGCACTTTAATAACTCAAGCAGCTGGCTACCTACTGATTCCTTGGGAAATAATTCCATAGTCAACAGGCTTCGTTGAGAATTTTTTACCTGATGTACTCTCTTCTTCTTTATTCTCCTTTTTTCATTATTTATAGGTAACCTGTCTGGCTAATATCCTTATTTTTGCTTATTTTCCATATCTGTTATTAGCTGGTCCAGGCGTGTTTATTTCTTGTAGCTTCATTAATCTATTTCCTTAAGACCCTATTCAAGTTCATTTTTAATTTCTGATGTCCCTTTGATTTGTCCAGAACTTTCTGGCACACAAATACAAAGCATGTAGTACTGTATTCTGGTTTGTACAATGAAAGGGTATTATTTTTGTGCTCAGTGATTTGGTATCTCTATGAATATACCTGAATCATGTATAAAATGGAATGGGTTGAATGTATATTTCACTTCAGTGCGAAATAAATGGTAAACACATCTACTTTTTGCATGAGTGGAAGCCAAAACAGTGGGTCAGAAGGGACCTTGCAAGAAATTATGGTGGAGGACACTATGGATATTGAAATGTCCAGTTATAAAACCCTAATGCTGGCAGGTTACCTATCGCTGTCTATTATAGAGAGACTATTTAAGACACAGTATATTCTAGTACAGGTGTTACTAGCTTATTTAAACCAGCATCAAGAAATATTTTAAGTTTCCTCTCACAAAAATATTGGCCAAAGATCTTCAGAAATGGTTAGCATGTGCAAATCATTCCTATTTCTAAGTAATCCTACTGACTTAATGATTTTAATTTTTGCATTGTAGCAATTTTATTCCTTTCATTATATTGAAAAATCTGCAATTTTGCAAATAAACCCCCTTATAGTTGGTGAGTCTGCTTGCTAAAATAGAGTCCTGTGTAACACGAGTTAATAACACTTCAATAACTTACACTGGTTAATTCAACTTCATGTAAATCACACTAACAGGTTTTTGTTGCAGCTCAGAGATAATCAAGAAGATGCTACAGCTGAAAAATATTTTCTTTTAATTTTTTGTTGAGTAGTTTTTTGACTTTCTAAAATTCTGATAGCTGTTACATACTTCTATAAGAGTCTTGTGGAAATGGGATGTTCTTTTTGTTCTCCGTCACGTTTCAAATAAAACTTGTTTTGGTATTAGTGCATGTGGATCCATATAATAATATTAAAAATACTAATTAAACTGAGTGTAGTATTCTTGCAGCTCAGCCTTAGACTGAAGCTCAGTAACATGTATGATTTTGTTTTCACAGCTTATACAAATCTTTGTCTGAAGGAATGAGCCTGAATGAGCAGCTTCACTGTACTTTCGGTGCTTCTGAGGGCGGACTGCAAGGCAGGGGGGATGTCGTGACCCTTACCTATCGCCAGGTTGAAGATCTGGCAGCTCAGCTGCAGCAAGCTCGGTCAGAGCAAAAGGACACAGAGCTGAAGCTCCAGACAGCCCTGGAGGCTTCACGGGAGGCCAATGAAAAGGTTCAGAAGTAAGTCGCTTGCCTTCTTTCAAGAAAAATTGCAGTTGAAACCCAAATGAAACGTCATTTCTTCTGGTATTTTGTCTATGACTGAAAGTGTGGTGGTGCTCAGAAAAGGTTCTTTAAAACGATTCCTTTGTCAGCCGTTCAGCTCATTACCTACTCGGTGTGAAGCCGATCATTTTAGCAGTTTTATAGTATTGCGCAAGTCAGCGTGCCTGTCATTACCGTTATGGAAACTGCTTTCTACATGTGCAAGGCACAGAGAAAGTGTTTCCATCTCCTGTGAATGGTTTTCACTGTCTTTTTACCCCATGGCAATCCTATAGCAACAGAGTATTTGCCTTTATAATTGCATGGTAGGATTTTAAGGTTCTTATTTTTGGTGTGTTAGGCATCTGGCAGGTTTCATGCCATGGTAAATGCTGATGGTGTTGTTCAGGGGTGGCTTCAAAATCTCACTGAAACCAACAGGAAGCCTCTGAGTTGGTGAACAGGGATTGTAGTCTCTTTCACGTCATAAGATTCCCTGTTAAAAGGTTACTGAACTCCAAAACCTGAAGTTCATCTCTACTGAAACCCTTATTGTCATCTTTGCTATTACTAGCACATAAACCTTCGAAAGTCCAATCGCTGGGACATAGGCAAAAGTGTAGGCAGAGCCTTTTCACGGTCTGGCACTTCTCGTCTCTACATCACATTCATCAGCTGCAAAATTCCCCTCTCTCACCCTTCCGAGGTGGTTGATGCTGAACTGATGCAAATTTTCCCATCTGTCCATATTTGTCTTCAACTTCAGTGTCTTCAGCATATTTCCCAAGTAGCCAGAAATTGGCTTATAACATATTGCAAGGACCTAACAAGAGTTCTTCCTGTTTAAAAAAATACTTGCTGAGTTCTCCCATTAAAAAAATAAAGACATTATATTTTTATATGTTTAATAACATATATTAAATATAACATAAAATATAGTTAAGATAGATATATGAAAATACATCTTTTCAGTCATCTCTTTAAAACCTCCAGTGGTTGTCTGAGAACCATTCAAATCTTTATTCTGAACTCTTAGATATATTTGAAACTTCAGCAGGTGCATGCTTAAAATAATTAAGCCTATGAAAAATAATTACAGGGTGTTAAAGAGAATATTGACTAAACATTTCTGTAGGTTGTTTAAAGTTGTTATTTCATTTTATTTTATTTATAAACATTTACTAACCATAGCTATTTAAGTGAGGATTGTTTTTTGTTTGGGTCTTTTTTTGGTGAAACGGTCTTGTTTAATCCTGTGTAACCAGGGTGGCCAGAGTAGAAGTGCAGCCACAACCTGAATTAAAGCGGTGGTGATGCACTGCTATAGTGAAAAGAATTTACGCAATTTAACATGCTCAACTACTTGGGAAAATTTTGGTCAGGTTAGTTTTCATTATTGCTCAGATCAGACCACTGAGCCTATAGCAAAATTAAACAATTGGGTGAAGTCTTTTGATGACAATAGCATGCCCTTTTTGCCAAGAAACTGTGGAAATGCTCTGTGCGTCTTCCCAGCACCCGGAGTCATCCACCCCCATCTTATAATTCAACCTGCAAACAGATTAAGCAGCTGAGTTTGTGGAAAGTGTGTTTACTTTGAGCTAAGAACCCTTGTGTGACACTATAGAGATTCCTCTGACACCTCTGGGAGAGCTACACAGACAGTTCGTACTCATCAGCAGGGAAACCGGGCTCAGAATTCCCAATTTCTTTGTAACCTCAACCGCTTCATACAAATCAGTGTTTGGCAATTAGGCAGGAACTCATTTGTTAGCTTAGCTTTTTATTTCAAAGATGTAGGATGTTCTACATTTCAGAAAGGAACTGACAATTTATAAACCCGTCAACAGAAAGGCTTCTTGGTGTTAATTGCAGTGGTATTAATTATTAGCACAGTCTTAAGAGGATGCTTATTGTAATTTAAAATGTGACACTATGATTCATAGCCTAAATAGGGTTCTAAAACATCTGTTTTCTTGACTACTTTTAAACGCTCAAGTAAAATTGAATTCTGACATATGAGGGAAGTATTTTTAGCAGCTGTATAAAGTTGTTTCTCAGTGTTATTCAGTAAAATATCTGAATAATGTAGCAACAGTTAAAAATCAGAAGAGGAAAATAATTATGAGCTTCATTAAGAAAGAATATAATTAGAATAATTAAAATAATGTTGAAAAAGGATGTGCTTTGTATCTTCGTACCATGTAATTTACTGGTGTTCACTCTGCCTTTGATAATCTGTTCTCTGGCAACACTGAAGAATTATTTTAATATTCCGAAAAACTTCAGTGTTTGCATTCAGCATCATATGCAGAGCTTGAGACAGACATGTAATTTCTCCACAGCGTTGCCATCGTGTCAGCCATTCCTGTGCCCACCTGCAATTGTTGCTTTCTAAGTGAGAGATACAAGTCAGAATAGTGGTCTTGTGTTTTCCGTCAGGACACAAAGCATCTAAAAAATTTCTGGATCCTATCCCACACGAAACAGCAGCTGTGAACCAGAAGGGGGATATATTGGAATCTGCTTATAGTGAACTTGGATATAGTAAAATTCTGTTTATACTGGAGTAGGGTGAACATGTCACATTGGCTCACTGCTGTGTGAGATACAAATTGCGACTGCGGGCTCTTGCCTGTGAAGATGATTCGCCATCCTAGCAGGGGCGGTGGTGAGAAACAGAAAATGTTGGTGCTCAGAGAGTGGCCACACAGATTTAGTTTGAATTTCTTTTGATTTTGAAACATTAACAAGAAGCATATTAGACTTTTAAAAGAGCACTATTTTAGTTTATAAAGCAAATATACATTTTAACTGTGTGGTGTGTGTAAATAAATACATGTACGTGCACACGTAACACAGTGCGTATTTATTCAATAGGAAATTATGATGATCTGCATGATGCTTAATATTTTTGACCTATACTGTAGAATGGCTATGACTATAATTTTCTATATTTAGTTAACATTTCTAATTCACGGTTACAAACAAAGAATTAGGACAGCGGTGCAGAATTCACCAGGAGCGTTGGCGCAGCACCACAGGCCCCCTGCAAGTTTGTCCTGCCGGAGAAGGCAGGAGCCAGCTGGTGCAGCCCCAGCAGGGAAATGGGCTGACCTGGAGAAGGTGGCTGGAAAAGCCTGTGAATTAATTAATGCCTCTGCCAGCAGAGGAAGCAAGACATTTTAAAACTGTCCTTCCCGCTGGAACCTCTGGGATTGAGGAGTGGCTACTGATGTCAGTGAGATCAGAGGAGGTTGTAATGTAATACCAGATCAATATTAGCCAATTATCAGTAAAGGTTGAGGCCACTTTTGATGTGTTTTTTCCAGGAAATGTTCTATTTTTCTGCAACAGCTTTGCAGCTGGAGTGAATGTTAATGCAATTTGTCTGTTGAGGGCTTCTGTTTTTTCTCACAATTTAACAATTCGAGCTCAGTAAAGCGTAGCTCTCTGCGTGTGAGCACCACCAACACGTGCACACTCAGAGCTGTGTAAGGTGGCAGCGGAGGGTGCGTGTGTAGAATTTCTATGTAATACTCTAAAAGTAAACACAAATCCACAAAGTAATGGTGCAATGCTAAAATATACGGGTATGAAAATAAGCATAAATGGTGAGAAATATGCTGCTTGTGCACTTTGTTGAGGTAGTTCTTACTATGAACAGAGCAAATAGATTAAGTGATGTAAAAGAGAAATTCTTACTTCATTTGACCTTAACTGTTTATTAAAGCCACCTTTTCTTCTGATATTGGGGATTTTTTCTTTTAAGGAGGAAGTCAGGAGAGTTACAGGTTTGCATAAAACATTTCCGTGGATCGAATACAAAAGAAAACTGAGCAATCTTCTCAATAAGCAGATAGTTTTATCAAAGGAAATTACTATCTCTCATAAAAGAAATACTACCCTTAATAACATTTGCTTTACCTCTTAAGGTGTATTTTTTGGCCGCCTAACTTTCATTGTTACTGGAACACACCCTTTTTTTGAGTAGTCCTGGATTTCCCTCACGCATTTCTGAACACGCTTTCTCTGCTTTCTTAGTTGCTCACTTAGTTCTGTTCCTTAGCTGATGCTGATAAATAAGTTGATCAATGACACTGCAAAAACAAACAGTTCTTACCAGCGTTTGACGCAGTTGAAAAGAATACAAAAAATGGAAAGAAAGAAGGAGAAAGCATTTATTACGTGGTTAAAGTAAAGTAAAGCTCCTCTGCCTTAGGAGTACGAGAGCTGTGTGCGTTTCACATCAACGTCCAAGACGTTTGCCGGTGCTGGCTGGAGGGTCTAATCTTTCCCAGAATGATCTGAGCAGTGCAGTGCAAGAACAAGAATGAATATTTGAATAATCACACCACAATGTGAGGTGACCCTCCGACAGGGGACTGACCAGATACACATATGGATTTTGGGAAGACGCTCTGATGCTCTTTTTTAACACAGCTGTGAGAAGAATGTGGCTAAGACCCAGTAGTCTTTCTGGAGTATAGCTGGCAAAGGAAACCATGAGGAGAAGAGAATTTAACACATGGGTGTAAGAGAGTCCGCTTCATTGATGCGATCTGAGGGGAATGTCTAATGACTGGAAGAATCAAACTTGGCAATGAAAACACAAAGCTCTTTTCATCAATTCAAACGCAGGCTCTAAAGCTGCAGATGGTTACCTCCAGCCTTGCCTATTCAGTGCGGGGTTGTATAAAATGGCACTTTGGTGAATACTAATAGATCAAAACAAAGATTTAATAACATAAAGATGTGGTGTTCATTTTTAAATGAGGATACAGGTCAGTGTCTCAGAAAAGAGTGAAATGAGTATCTTTATGTATGGGTCTAAAGTCTCTGGAGATTTTTTAACTGCAAACATATCTTTAGTGTGTGGATTGTATTCAGTACAGCGCAGCTATGCAGGGGACAGGCTAAAAGCAAGATTTCTGAATTATTATCCTAATTGAGCCTCTTTGCAACATGCAGATGTT